TGTCGTAGAAGATATTTAGCGGATTTCAACTGCGTGGAAATCAACATCAAAGCCTATGTTACGACCATTTTCGAGAACGCTGCCATCATCTTAGTGAGGAAGAAAAAATTTAAGATAGGAAGAAAACGGAAAAAAGCACTGAAAAATAGAAAAAATAGGGAAACTAGAAGAAAATCAGTTTTCATTGTTGGCCGTGTCGGTTGATGGCACAAAGCCAACAGTTGCTGTAGACATGTCCAACGCGTAATTTTCCCAGCCCTGGTTCGTAAGCGACTAACGAAGAGGAATTTCTAGTTTTGGAGTTCGTTTGGAGGTATTTCCTGCTTCTTTCATTACCTTCGATCAACTTAGCACCCAACACTCCATACTCTCGAACAAGGAGTACCTCGTTTTATCCCGGAGTTTGCCTTTAAGGCGTCCGTTGATTGTTTGCAGTCTTGCTTGGCTGGGTAGAAATACTAAACTAATCAAATTAAACTGTTTATCAGATATCTGTTTACAAATCTGAGCAAAAATCGATGTGCGGTGCGTTAAAGTAATTGATCAACACTAACACGTTTCTCCTCCTTCGCTATCATTACTTTTTTCTTTATTTTCTTCCAAGTAATTCGGCCAGGCTCCGTCGACCCACCATGGATCTTGCTCATTGACTGAAGGCAGATAAGAGTCTTCTCCACTTACTATTACGTCATGATAGAATGTATGACGGGGATTCCACCTAGCGTTCTTCGGTCAAAACAGCAGACCAGTTGTGCTCGCTTACTGTATCCTTTCACTTGGCAAGTGTATTGCCCAAGTACACTTCCACCATATGGAACGTTCTGTGCTTTTCCTTCTATTCCCTTTTATTCGATCCTTATGAATGTACATTCATTTTAAAGCTTCACCTTACTAATTTGGTTGTGTATTTAGCGAGGTAGCGCATTTGGCGCGTTGATGCTTTGTCCACTTATTTTTACATCGTAGTTGTTTCTATCTTCGGGGAACCGGGCGCACAAATAAAGAAGGAAGCGCTGTCACAGTCACCGATGTTTTCGGTCAGAAGAGGGCGAGCGGGTTGTGGAAGCAAAACGTCAGCATTATGTTGTTGTTCCATCACATTCGCAACGAAAATGACCTATCCAGAACGGCAGGTCACGCTATTACACTGCAGAACCCAGACTTTTCCATTTCTTCGAATGCTTTGCTAGCGGGTGTGAGACAGTGACAGAAGGCAACATTTAATACTACCCATATGGTCTATAGGAATGAATGTCAGCTACATAGACCACACCACTAGCAAAACAATAAGTGCACAGGTGACGAAGTCTTTGGGAAATGTTTTTGTTTGTTTGACAAGAATGCTGGGTTGTGAACAAAACTTCGAAGTAAACATCAATTGAAAAGTGGAAGTTTTGTTAACAACCCATTATTCTTGTAAATTTGTTTTTAATTTTTCGTTCTAGAATAAAGGAAATTATACGAAATTTTAATAAAGGAATCTTGCGCGGAAAATTCTTGCACTCTTTCCTAACATGAATATGTCAGTTGTGATCACTGGAAATAGCACACAAAGTTTCACGCATGAAGATTCGGTTTCTGAAGAGAAACAAACGTACAAAAACTACACGTTATGGACCATCGAAGGACCAGGAGGCAGAGCCAGGCGAGGCATGGAAAGAAGACGGCGTTTGGCCGGCTACGTACCAGGCGACGCAATGAGAGAGAATCGGGTCGAATCCGTATATAACTAGACTGAGTACGAAGTAAGATGTGAAATGGCAAGACAGGCAAAAGCCAGGAAGAGCTTCTTGTGGTCTGAACGTAGTCGTATTTGAGACTCCGGAGGGGGGGGGCGGGGCCGGGGGGAGCGGGGGGGGGGGCGAGGGGAGGGGAGAGAGGGGGAGGGGGCAAGCCGCGCCCGGGCAATTCTCGAACCGCGTAGCAAACACTTTACGTTTTTCTAATCAAACGTCTTCGCTTTCATTATATCGTGAGTAGTGAGTCTCGGAGTCATGAGTTATGGCTGAAATAGAATCATGAATTTTTCCAGCGCAAGAATCCTGTTAATAAAGGCTTTTCGATGTTTCAACTCGAGGCTGTGTTCGTGCGTACTCGTCTGTTTTTAGAATTTCGTCTTCTCTACTTGAAGGGATCATTGACCTAAAGGCCTTACCCATTTTGAATCACGTTCCGACCAGCTTGAGGTGGCAGGTGTGTAAGCCTTTCTGGTCGTCATCTCCAAAGGTTCATTCTCACCTTCCATGACATCGTTTTAAGTGGTTTAAAAAAAGGATAAAGCATTTGCCGTTGATCAATCCCTTTTTGGGATGCGGCACGCATTCTACTTCCATTTGTACATTCGTAGTGGCGTTTGAATGCGATGTGGCCTATACAAATGACTTGCGGGGGCCAGCCGATGTTCAAGTCAGTGTTTTTATCCTCCCAGACAAGTCTGGTACCAATTAACCGACCCCGGAGGGATGGAAGGCTTGGTTGGCCCGGGCGACTCACGACCCAGGATTTGATCCCGGACCGCTCGCGTGGTGAGCGCGCCACTTGTCACTACACCACTTCCGCCCGTTTTAGTAGTTTACACCCGTTAAGTGATTCGTAGGGTTGGAATCTGTTTTGGACGGGTACGTAGTTTCCCAAATGACTTTTGTCTTTGTCAGGGTCTGGAAACGGCGAAAGCATCGAAACCTCAGCCTAATAAAAGTCACTGTCAATCTTGGTTTGAAGATTATCAACCACATCACATATCCTGGGGATCGCTTTCGTCCAATTATCATGCTTCCTGCCCTAATATTCACGGAATCGTTTATTATTCGACATCTACATAATTGGTATAGTACAGTGGAAGGAGGGATAAAAGTAGTTAGCCTTCAGAATTGTTTCAGAAATGTAATATTCCCATTCCAGGATGGGTTCGTCGTGGCATAACGCCTCATTCTACTGCAAAGTGGTTCCGATATCAGCCTTGCTTGCGGTTTTTCTCGTCTTCGCCGCATATATCTTGTGGAGGTAAGCAACTGCATAAAGGTGGATTTTATCATTGAAAGGCAGTCCATTGAAAATTAAGTTTTAAGTTAGAGATAGCAGTGATACACGAAAGAAGAAAAAACCAGAAAAATGGCCTAGAACCCGAGAAATGGGACCCCTTCCTTGCCCGTTGATTTGCGCATTGATGCGACTCTCATCGGTGCTGCCCTCTTCAACGCGCTCTCTCTGCTGAACGGCTAGAGACTCAGACACGAGACGACGCACAAGGGGGCGTACCGCGCCGATAGCGTGCCAATCGCGCCGATTTGAAGACCATGATTGATTACGGGGGGCAACCCTTCAATGCGAACTTGCGTGTCAGTCAGCTCCCTTTAGAGGTCCGTCTGTCCCTCCGCTAGGTAGATTTCTCCTTCTCCGACCTTCGACCTTATCATGGGATCTCCCTTCAATCGTATTCAAATTATCTTGCCATTTTTGACGTTCGAGATCTGATCTCCATGCATTGTATGGCAGATAGATTTTGGGGTAGTAACTTTCTGCTAAAAATACAAGACTCAGCGGATATTTTACTGGGAACACGGAAACAGGCCTTTGCCTAGAAGCGTGTCAATGCGCTCACCACTTGGTTGTTCTGACGAAAAAAAGAAGCACTAGGATGAGATATGATAGAAATAAATCTGTTTTAGCATACATCTTTTCAACCCCGTCCCTCTACGAATTCAAATGGACTGCTCGCTTTTTCTAGGAGCAGAGGGCAGGCAACATCTGGAAGAATACAAACGTAATCGAACCGTCCTCAAGCAAAAGATTGATCTCGGTCCAAGTAGGTCGGTTTCTTGCGACAAATCATTGTGGTCTTTATTCACAAGCCGAATTTCATTTCCAGGTGTTGGACCATCAGGAAAAGGCGTTACCTTCCGACAGATGTGCCCGATAGCATGGAAGTGCATCACAACATGTATTTCCTACGAATCGTCAGCCAGGTACAATAATTACCGTACATGAAATCTCATAGAATGCTTGTGACTGACATTGGATGCGAAATGCTCGTTGTGAATGCGACGGGCGTTCAAAAATTATGCGCGATATCGAAAAGGTAGAAAAGCAAAATCAAGAGACGTGAAGTCTCTCGTTGCAAACAAACGTTCAAAATATCACTGCTTGATGCAGTGAACTGTGGGATTTCAATTAACCCTTTCGGACATGAATTTTTCCCTGTGGAGATTTTTCATCTAGCTATTGTTTATTACTTGTGAGCATATAGGTATCATTATGGCGAAATT